GGGCCTTGGGCCTTCTGGCTCTTCTTCCAAAGGCCTGGCTTCCCTCACTCCAGGGTCTAAATCCTGGCAGAATGTGTTGGGAAGAGAAATAGCCTGTGCACCTAGAAGCCTGCTGTGGAGGGCGTGGTGCAGGGTGCCCAGACCCCAGGGCAGCAGGCACCAGCTGGCCTCTGAGAGCCGGTGAGAGGCTCGTGCCCGGGAGACGTCCGGCCAGGGCTGCGGCTGCAAGTCTTATGTGTCTTATGCGGGCTTTCCCATTTCTCGTTGGCAGAAATGTGATTCAAAAGCCAGAACATGCTTTTGCCTTTGTAACAAAATAAGCAGTTTTTCATTGTGAGGCAGATGAAATCACTTTCTAAACCTTGGCATTCCGCTTAGGAGCAATTTGCTGTATGGGAGTCACTGTGAATAGATACCTTGCAGGATTGATTTGTGGTTTTACCATAATGTATGTAAAGTACCAATTAATACTCAAGTCTCTTGGAAATGCCTGGGGAGAGAAGTAAAAGAATCACTCAGGGATTTAAACAGTYGGGACCGCCCATCATGAGTGGGTTTTAAAGAAGTGTCCAATCTCTGTGGCTCAGGAGAGTTTGCATCTAGTCTGGAACCTGCGATCTGCATGAGGAGTCAGGCTTACGGGCCCAGAGGTGAGGAACAGAGTGTGGATGAAGATGCTTCCTGACGGTCCTCACTGTTCCCACACCAGGACACTCTTGTGGGCGGGTGTGCTCTGCACCTGGAGGTTACGGGAGGCAACGTGAGGATAGTTCACAGACCAAAGGAGGATTTTCAAGGGGGTGTTGACTTGTTCAAATGATTCATGCAATAAATGGTGTGCGGATTTACCTCCTAAGCTGTGCTGGGCTCTCGGAGTCTATGCTGAGCCAGGTGGACATGGTTTTGGCCTCTGCAAGATAATAGGGTCAGACAGATCACTGAACAAGTCTTGATGCTAAGGGCATGCTGTCCGCCCAGCATGCACAACCTGGGGCATCTCCCTGGAGGGAGGACGGGTGAGCCTAGATATGGAGGATGGGCGGGAGATGGAGCCATGGAGGAGTGTGGGCCACAGATGGGGATGAGGGGCTCTGGGGAGAGGCGGAGTGTGGTTTCAGGCTGGGGAAGCCGCCAGGCCCCTAGCTGCATCTGTGGGCAATCAGAGAGGCCTAGGGAGGGCTGAGTGTGGTGGGGACAGACAGGGAGGAATGTGGTCCTTGGAGGAGGGGATGCAGGGCGGGTGTATAGGAAGGATGATGATTTTGTTCTAGAAACGTTCTGTTGACCGCATCTGGTGGACAATTTGGGGAAGTCTGGTCAGAAGGTTTTTTCTGGAGCTTTGGTTGCAGGTCCAAGTTGGAGCTCAGGAGACAAGAGGGTCTCCGGAGCTTGGACAAGAGCATCCTGGTGTGGGAAGAGTGAGGACAGTCAGGAAGCATGTTTAGGACACATGAGGTTCCCTGGCCTGTCCCTGAGCCCAGGAGAAAGTGCCGGCCTCCTGGGCCCATCCAGCTACTTCAGAGTCTCAGGTCGTCTTGGGGCACATATCCTCAGGCCCTCTCTGGGCCCTCTCTCAAGGTCCCTTTCCCTCTTTGCTTGACTGGATCAGATCCAGGATTCTCCTGGCCCAGTGGCCATGTCCTCTGTCCATGCAATCTGCTAGGTACATCACATCCATCAACCTAGCAGGTAGCTGGTGTGAGTCCTGTGAGGTGCTCCAGGAACGAACCAGACAGTCTGTTCCTCAGAGCGCCCAGGCTGGAGGGAGTTGCAATGTGGCACCATGTGCTCTGCCACTCTGGGGGCTCACCCAGGGGAAGACGTGCTGAAGGGCAGAAAGGCCAGCTGGGTCTCAGAGCCTGAATAGGAATTGGGCCAGGGGTACAATTTCCCTGGTGGGTTGGACAGAGTGTGGGATGCATGGCAAGGGGTGGATGAATGGAAGGGGTGTCGGGGCTAAGCTCTGAGGGAGACCCTTTTGCTGGGTAACTCACACTAATCCCMAAATCTTCCCAGGCAAGATGTCCTTCGAGGGCACCAGGTTCAGCATGAGGAGCAGGAGGAACGGCACTCTGGGCAGCACGCGGACCCTCTACTCCAGCGTGTCTCGGAGCACGGACGTGTCTTACAGTGAAAGCGTAAGTCGGGCGCCCGGCCCCTTGCCCAGAGCTTGGGCAGTTAGGATTATTTGGTGACTTGTCTGCCTTCTTTACAAAGAGCCTCTCCCTGTCCTCAGGGCGGCATGCCAGCAGGACAACATCTCCCAACATAGCTCCCTCCCGCAGCCCCTTACACTCTCTGGCCATCTCAGATGCTCTCACTCGCCAGGAAGTAAAGATAACCCTCCAGGCTGATGTCCAGTTCCCTCTGACTAGAGTTAAAGTCAGGATGTTGGCTGGCTTCGCAGACAGGGAGGAGCAGGAATGGGGAGGGCGGGTGCTGGTCAGGTCAGTTTGCTCTGCCTGGTGGTTACTCAGGCCTGGCTCTGTGTACAGCTAAAACCTCTGCCCTCCTCCTCCGGCTGGGGCCCGCCCCCAAGGGCCAGGACAGGGCGAGTGCGATGCTCAGGTGTGAAACGAGGGAGGCGCTGCCCTGGGTTGCCGCCCTGCACTTGCAGCCCCCAGTACTGAGCACCTCTTTAGCGCCTGCCCACATCTCGACTTGGTCCTGCTCTGTGAGAAGCCCAATTTGCAGAGGCTGCGGTGGCTTCCCCGCTGCTCCTACCCTTTGCTCTTCTTCTCTGACCCCAAACAAAGAAGTACCCCTGAGGAAGGGCCCTGGCTGGGTCCACTCAGCCTCAGGCATTGGTGCCCTGAGAGCTGGACCAGGGCTGTCTCCTCACTGTGCTCCTGTTGCCCCTGAGGGTGGCCCTTCCCGGGTGCAGGCAGCCCTGGCAGGTGGGATTGCTGAGGCCGCCCGGGAGATTCTCAGTTCTGGGAGCTCCTGTTTGCCCCTCAGCAGACACCCATACCTCTGCACAGTGCATTTACAGAGGAAATGATCAGAACCAGGCCATTTTTATCATCCGCCCTCCGCCCTGAGCCTGATTCCACAGCTCGCAGGGCTGTTGACTGTTCACATCGTGGGAGGTAGACTCAATTATTTAAGTAAATAAAAAATATTACGAGGAAAAATGGACATCACAGATTTTCAAAATTCTTCCATATAGATGAGCATTGGAACTATTTTTCTGTGAAATCCACATGAAATTTCCAGCCTAGAGGTCACTGATAATGCCCGGTACCCACTACCAGCTTGAGATATGGGATGTGGCCAGTGTGTCGGATGCTCCCCTGTGCCCTTCCTGTGGGAGGTCAGGCCTTGGCCTCAGAGGTCATAACCAATGTCCTGAATGTTGGGTCACGGTTGCTGGTTCCTGGCCTTTTTAGGGACATTTAGCTTTGTTCACTTTTTGTATTCATGGTATTGTATTGTAAGGACTTTTTTGGTGAGTTCTTTACACTGGTTTTGAGATTAGTGCACACTGATTCCAGCAGCTGCTGCTGATTCATTTCCCCGCTGTGCAGAGTTCTGCCACGTGCATGTGTCTGTCCAGCTGGAGGGCTGGACTTCCGGGTTTCTAGCCTTTGCTATGAGGATTGACACCACTCTTAACACCCTTGGGTGTGTTCCCAGGTCTCCTGAGGCGTGTCCTTTGGTTTGAGAACAGTGAGTGGAAGGTGTCTATTTCTCCTTCATGGCGTTTGGTTTAAGAAACAGAATTTGTGGGGGAACTTAGGTTCAAAGGATGGGAAGAGGAAGATGTGGTGTCCATTCTCTATTCCTCAGGACTTGCCTGGGCAGGGGATGGGGTGTGAGGAGGGACCTCCAGGAGAGGGCCCCCATCCTTGTGTACTGCTGGTGAAGGCCTTGCCGTGGGGAGGAGCCAGGCCTGGCTTCGCTGCCAGCCCCTCTGTGAGGTGACTGTGCAGGAAGCAGTCAGAGCTCTCCGACCGTCAGCACGGGTGCTCTGCAGGGTGTGGATTTGGAAGAGAAACCTCAGCAGCTCTAGCTCCCAAGGTCAAGATGCTCTGAAGCCACAACCTCATCACCAGGCATCCAGAGTGTATGGGTCACTGGGGGAACCCCTGCCTCTCTCCACAAGGGCCTGCTCCCCAGGGAAATGACTTGACAGGCAACAGTGGACCATTTTCTGCCAAGTTTGTACCAGTTTCTCCACCCTGAGACCCACAGCTCTCCCCTTCACCCTGCTGGGGATTAATGTCTTTCACTGGGTGCATGAAATGAGATCCCACTGTGGTTTACTTCACATTTGTTTCATTAGTAATAAGATCCAGCTCTGTGTGTTCATGGGTTATTTGTGTTCTCTTTTATTCAGCGTCTGCTCTTGTCTCTTGCCATTTTCCCCACAGGATTATCTGACGTTTTCTTACTGAATTATTATCCTTATATATTCTGCTCACCAATCATATGATGACCAACATATGTTGCAGATATCTTCATTCATTTTTTCATCTGTTTTCAAATAGCTTGCTTCTGCCAACTTAAAGGCAATTTTTTGTTTATAAAGGCTTTGGTGTTTGTCAGAATTAGCCTCAGATACGCCTAACCACCTTGCCCACAGGGGAATAAATACAACCATGGAAGGAGGTTTTGAAACATCTTTTAAAAAGCAAGCAGAAGATTAATGGAAACCTGTGCTGATTTTAATTTTTTTTTTTAAATGCTAGACTATTATGCAGTGCTTACTCTTCCTGGTAGCCTTAGAGACAGAAAAACATGATTCCTAGGTACAAGATAACTCTAAGTAACATTTGGAAACATTTGCATTTAGTTATAAAAATTTAAATGTATGCTCCCTTTAAAACACCACCACCAMCAACAACAAAACCCTGGTGTAGTCCAAAGCATGAGCAAACGTCGGCTGCCTGGGGGGAGTAGTTATAACCTTTGAAGTAGCTTGGATATRTTTAGTATTCATTCATCTCATCAGGAGGCATGAATAAAGCAGTAATGTGTTATCCAATGTTTTTCTCCAAAGGACCTGGTGAATTTTATTCAAGCGAATTTTAAGAAGCGGGAATGTGTCTTCTTTACCAAAGATTCCAAGGCCACGTAAGCTACTGTTTCCCTCCATTTTTGCTTCCGTGTTTAAAAATTAATTATTAGCCACCATTACAACAAACAAATAAAAGCCCATTAGTGCATTATAAAGGTTGTTTTCATCTTGTAATTCCCAGAAAGGGTGTGTGATCAAGAGGATCTGGCAAGTACCTTATAGTTCTTCCCTAATTATATCATTTCCTGTGTATTTTTAGCTTTGATGATACAGCAGCTGCTGAGGTTGCTGAGAGGGTCTTCACCCCCTGCAGTACTCCCGGGAGCCTGGGAGCCCACCCTGGGGGCCTTGGCAACAGACATGGCTCAACCGCAGTTGCCAGGCAACGACGCATTTGTGCACATGTGTCAATCCGAGTGGCTCTTGTTCCCAGCTGTGGTCTTTGCGCCTTCCCTTTTTACTGGGCTTTCATCTACTCTTGAGTTTGGGCACATCAAGGCTGGGTTACAAAAGGCACCCTGGAGCCCAACTCCCATGAGCGAGGGAGTGAATGCATGGGTGCACAGCTGCTGGAAGACGTACCTGGATCTCATTAAACCATTCCAAGCCTAGACCTGCTCTTCTTGTTCCTCTCTGCTCCTCCTCTTTTGCTAGAGTGTAGCTGGTAATGGACTGGAAGCCATAGCTGCAGTTAACTGGAGGATTGGTCCTCTGTGAATGGAGGCAATGAGCAGAGCAGCGATGTAGGAATGGTAGAARCTTTAGAATCAGCTTTGGTTCCAAACTTGACTTGGCTGCCCCTCACTGTGTGACCTTGAGCCCATTATATTTTTCCTGAATTGAATTCTCTCATCCTAAAAACCTAGTAAAAGCAAACCTCAGGGGTTCTGGTAAGGATTCAATGAGGTAGCACATAAAATACCTATTATGAGCCTAATAGGTTTCAATAGGATGTGTTTTCTGACTAGGTTTGAGTTAGAAAATGAACATCAAAGAAACTAGGAGATCTCTGCTTTGTCATTGGTATAAATTTGTTCCTAATGAATCATTCTGATGAGTATAAATTCCGCCAGCCAGCTATCTGTTCTTCAAATGCTTCCCTGAAGGACTCTGCTGTCAATGTATTCATTGGTAGAGAACATAGTTTTATTCATTCAACACGTATTTTCTGAGCATAGGCTATGTCATAGGACTATACCTACTTGATTTATAACACTTCGATGTTCCTGCAAGGTAGCCGTGATTATCATTTGACAGATGAGTCAAGTGGGTTCAGTATTCTTCCATGATCACATGGAATATGGATAGTGATTTGAACTTAGGCTCTCTGATTCTTTCTCCCCAGCTGCCTCTGTTTTTAATAATGGCAGTGCTTCAGGCAGGTCAAATTCATCAACACAGTCTCAGTTCCAGATGTCCAGTCTCATGAGCTTCCATGGAAGTAGAGAGTCTGTGGGGTATGATACTGGTGTCTTATGGCTGAAAAGCCCAGCTAGATCCAGGGCTCCCATGATGTCACCCTGTCCCTAGTATCCCCACCTGTAGATTTTGTCCTTCTATGGTGAGTAGGCTCTTCACACATGGTGGATAAATGGTCTCCATTCTTTGACTTATATGTTTATAGCTTTCCAATGTATTAGCTGGGGGAAAGGGCCTTGTCCCTAGAGGTTCTACCAATGTCCTGGACATATGTTCATGGCTCTCATTGTCCTAACTTGGGCCTTATGTCCATTTCTCAGATAACWCCTGGGGCTGGAATATGAAATATACTGATTCCAAGTTGAGCTTGGGTGATGTGACCTCAATGACTCAGTGTAGAAAGGGAGGTTTCCTCAGATGAAAATCAGGGTGCACTTGCTAGCGGAAGAGGAAGTCGATGTAAGTGAAGGAAACATATCACTGTCCACCTTACAGGGCTGGATTACATCTCAAGGCTGGGTCAGAATGATGGCAGGTGTGCTAAGCTGTCGCAGATCTCAGCAACACAAGCAGAGAGCAGGGATACCCAGGGCCTACAGTTCCCATTGTACAAGGAATGCAGAGTATCCAGGGGAAAGACTCTATAAGCTTTGAAGTTCCCCCTATTTATTATTTCTAACTCTCCCTAGGTAATGTGAATATGCCATCAGACAAGTGAATCAAGGGAAGTGATTGTAAATATTGACACCCCTATTTAGCTGCACTTCTCCATACTAGCTGATCAGCTGCCTAAAGTCTCCCCAAAGAGACCCTGGGGTTGTCACATATGTGCCAAGTCAGTCAACTCTAACCCCTTGAGAGGTCACTAGAGGGTGATGCTGGACTGTTGCCCCTGCTGGAAATGCTCTGAGACATGCCACCTAGTTAAGGGTCACCTCTTGGCATTCTTGAAGTGGTGTCTCCTGGATCTGGTTGCTCTCCTCAGTTCTCACTACCTCATCCATGCTGGGTTCCAGGTGGAAACAGGAAGTATGCCACTTTCCTGGCACTGTGCAGCAGAACTTTCCAAGGCAATGGAAGTGTTCTTTATCTGTGCTGTCCAGTGTGGAAGCCAGTCATGTGTGGCTACTGATCATTTTAAATGTGGACATTACAACCTAATAACTGGATTCTCTAATTTTATTAAATTCCAATGCAAAATTAACCACATGTGGTTACTGGCTGCCATATTGCCATATTGGATAGCAGAGCTCTGTAGGACTCAGCCTTCTTCATCTGAGAGCTAGACCTAGGGTCCTGATGCCCGCTGTCCTCTTCAACTCTTCTCTCCCATCCCTATTCCTCCTTCAGATAATGTGCAAACCATCTTCTTCATCTGTATCCAATTCATACGAATTGGTGCTGAAGGCCAATAAACCAGACAACTCTCTTGGTTAAAGTCACCTGAGACTCACTCCGACCTTTAGCAGAGAAAAGGAGTCAAGAGTCTGTCTTCAGTTGCGGCAAAGACAGGAGGGAAGGAATCTCTTCCCATTCTGCAATGAAGTTGGGTGGGTGAGGACACATCCCAAAGGATGGAGACAGGAAAGGAGAGTTGGGTGTCAGCCACAGCTTGGGAAGTCCCCAGGGACTTTGTAAGAGAAAGGGCTGAGCAAACCGTGCTCAATTCTGTGTGACGTTTTTCTTGGCCARATGGAGTGGTGCCCTTGGGAGCTGTTCTGGTTGGAGGACAGGGTGCTGCTGGAGAGGCAATTTGGGGATCTGGTCTCTAGCCCAATCTTTATAGCTCTAGCAAATATTKAATATTTTGACAAATATTTTGAACAAAGGTAATTTCCATACTCTATAGTGATTAAGGTTTTCGGTTACAAAAAAACCGACTAGTTTAGCTGTAAAGAAGGGATCTGCTAAAGAGACAGGAATGCCATGTAAGAGAAGAGTGACTGTGAAACTGGACCTCTAGGATGGCTGGGGACCATGACTGTACATGTGGGGATTCCATAAGTTCTGTCTGTCCACCTCTCATCTCCACCTCCTGGGCACCTACAGATTGATGCTGTGTTGCCTGGATCTTCCATGTGCCAGGCCTAATCCTGAAGGGAGGTGGGAGCAGTTCTTTTAGTCCCATATTCCCAAGAAAAGTACACTAATGTAAATCCTGGTGGAATGTTCTGTTCCTGGGCCTATCCATTGTGGACAGTTCACAGGATTCAGAAGCTGATGGCATAGATGAGGCTGTGAGTTATTTCAATGCCCCCAGGACCCACGTCAAATGGCTAATCTCCACTGACCTATCAGTGACAGCCTTCCCTAGCCATTTCCCTTAGGGGAGCCTGTGACTTGTGGGACCCCTGCTGAGATGATTTTTCCCCCCATTGCTGTATCTCTTCAAGGATGGCTTTGGTAGTGACCCAGGGCAAGTTTTATGATCACACTCTTGTTGTCCTCCTCCACTGGCCCTGGTCCCTCAAATTCCTACTACTCTTCTGAATCCTGTCCAAAGATTGATGAGAGAAAGACCAGGAGAGACAGAACCAAGGGGTGGGACAGGCAGAAAAAAACCAGGAGGAGGGGGAACAGCTGTTTCTTTTTTGCCAAATTASAACTTCTTTTGTTACTGTCCAACTCTTTGAGAATCCAACTCTTAAAATGTAACTAGCTCTGGACAGAGATGTCAAGTAATCATAAATGTGTTTTGGATGTTTTGACTGCATTTTTTGCTTCTTTTGGGTTGCTGCTTCCWTTGTTACTTCTTGGCTTGCATGCTTGGCACCCCCATCAGCTGAGGGTCACCTGTACAGAGCACACACTGTGGACCAGGCCAKCTACACACCTGGCCTTGTTTCCAGCCCTCAAGTCAGCCTCGCAGGGTTGGATTATGCCAGGATCAAAGGAAGTATTTTTCATGTTCCTCGATACACTTGGCCAGGTCTGTGCTTGGCTTCTCCCAAGGGATCATGAGAACCTTGAAGACAGGAATTGCATCTGGTTCATTCTGGAATGTTACAAAGTGTAGTCCGGGTCTGACCCAGAGTGCAGTTTCAGTTAATATTTGTTGAGTGATTACAGTCCATTGTGGAAGGAGAAGAGGAAGAGGAGTTATCACTATCTTTCTGTACTCTTCCAATTTCCTGTGATGCATGTGTCATTTAATGGACAATTATACTTAGTTTTGTGGTACTAATGGGGAGAGTTAGTGTTTAATGCAATAGTCTTTGTCTAGCCCAAATTACTGAAAGTCTCCCAAGTAGCTAACATCTGTTATAGAAGGTGGGTCTCTCTGAACTCTGGAACACTTGGGCCCCTTCTAGGGGACTGTGTAAGCCCASTGAGTACAGCCCTTGGGAAGGACTGCTCCCCTCACTTTGGCAGAACAGTAATAGCCAGAAAAGTGGTGGGGTTG